TAGGATATTACGAGGAAGGCCATATCATTCTGAGGATCATCATTCATAGGATTAGTGTAAGACCCACGTAGTTATTACTGAAGGTGAAATGCATTTTCCTTCTCAGCACACCCTCCTAATGGGAACAGATGATCTGTGCGAGAACCCACATTGGGTTAGAGTGTGTCACCTCATTTATGGGGGAGATCATTTCTGGAAACATTGGCGTCTCCACAAGTGAATCCCTTGACTTCTAGATTGGTGTAATGATAAAAATACAAAATACATTATTTATTTTTTGTTGTATAATTCTAAAAGAGTTAATAAGCCTGTAACAACTGTTGCAAAGTTCATCTGTAACTCTAACCTCCTCTCAATCGGTTTTTCGTCCAGTATCCATGGATCAAATACCGGGACGGTTGCTTGGTTCTTCACTTATCTCATCGGCAAATTAAGTTTTTTCCCCCCTTAACGTTAACGTTAAAAATTAATTAAATAAGTCGTGTCCTGGAGTCGAGTCTCGGAGCTGAGCGGTTCTAGGCAATGATGACGGGGGATAAGGGGGTGACATACGAAGCCGTATGAGTGGTGACGGGCGAAGCCCTGTGCGGATGAGAATTCCAGAGGCTGTCTGCTCCGATCAGTCACTCCAGGTTTCCTCCGATCAATTTCAGGGGGGAGCGGAGCAACGGTCTACGGTAGGGGCGCTAACCCGATCCCAATCCCAAACCAAGTGTCGGCCATTCAAGTCATCGTTGAAACCAGGTGGCTGTTTATTTGAAACGTACTACTACTATCTTCAAATAATACGTTAAAAAATGTTACCCCAACCTTTTAACACGAAGCGACCTGTCAACATTTACTTATATCTGAATCACTGGAGAGGATAAGCACTGCCAATACGCATTACAACTTCGTATTGACTTCAAACTTATTACCGGGGTGATATTGGTTACAGAAACATCCGTAGGAAAACTCAATGTGGCATTGTGCTAAAAACAAACGAATACAAAAACCAACCCATACCAATTACCACTATCCATAAGTTGTTTTATTCACGAATAATATTCTTTTTTTTTTGCGACGAAAGTCTGATATCACGATGGAATAATTCTATGATTGAATGATTCTACGGAGTATTGCGATTTGATTTTTGCCTCTGCAATTCGCAGAGTAAAAGTAAAGTAATATCGTTTGTACAAACAATACACTGAAAATAGATTCGCTCCATCAAACTTACTGCAAAGAGCACTTCCACTACAGCAATATGTTGGATATTACTTTTACATGGTTTAGAGGCACACCTAGTAAAATATACTTTATTCACATATCAAAAAAGTTATCCACGTCTAACCTCCCTTTGCTAAAAGTTAAAGAAATTAATAATCAGTTCAATAAAATGAAGAGATAACAATTAAAGTGAACAAATCTGCGGACCACTCAAAATTATTCCGCAGATCAAAATTGATTTCTATTTCATAGGTACATTTTAAGGAAAAAGAAATGCATTGCAAGTAGATTACTGAACTGTGCTCTAATGCAGTTATTCCGAGCCAGTGTATCCCAAACATTTTGAATCCATAGTACATTTTATGAAAATGCTTGTAATACGTACCAGGAAACAGTAAGTTAATTCATGCATTATAATCCATGGCAGACTGAAACAAAGGTCAAGTAAATTCCACAGCAAACATTGGTGGGATTATCATGTTTTTGTTACCAAGAATGTTTCCCCCATAAAGCACGAAAGGTCAACAATAAAGTGCTCACGTACTTCTCTTATCGACTAACTGAATTCGTCGGAATCATAATGAACTGTTTAAATGAGTCACGAGGCCGTGAATGTTCTGCGCGCAGTGTCAGCTGAAAAATAAAGGGAAGCGCAGCGCTCATATCAGTTTCTGTCGTATAAATAAACGATTAGAACTGGAATGATTCTGAGTGGCAAATCGAAAGTAATACAAGTGAAATGCCCATAGGACAAGCAGCAATAAATATTAAAATAACCTATACTGTACCTATTTCGTGCTGAAGTTCCTGGTGTAGTGTGACAAACGCTATAGATGTACCAAAGCAATGTCTTTTAATGAAATGCCCCAAGATTCTTTTCAAGATAAGGGTGTAGATTACAGTCCTTTTACTTCCAGATCAACTTCTGATCTCCGACATTCCGAAAAACTACGTCGTCGAGTGGAGACCAGAGAGCTGTTAGAGCAGAACAAGTGGTGGCGTTGGGCACCAGCAGCAAACACGGACCCTACAGAACGCCCCAGCACGTCACACCACGCACGTCGGCACAACGCCCGTCAACAGCGCGCACCGCACGGGGGAACATCCATCGAAGCGATTTCCCACACACAAACGAACCTCCGAGAGGCATTTGCATATGCACACTGGTTCGTGCCGAGCGCACGCGAGAACTGAACCCCACACGTCCTCCGGCCGCCGAGCAGCTCTCTCTCGAGCTCACTGAGTTAAGCACCGAGCGCGATGAGCAACGCACGCGAGGCAGTGCGACTCATCACGCCTCAGACCGCGCGGCTGGACGTAGCTTCACCCACGCCCAGCGCAAACAACGTGCGGGTGACTGACGAAAGGTCCCTCCGCCCCCACCTCCACCCCGAGCGAAAGCCCTCGGCCGCGAAGCGAAATGATTCACTTTGGGTTCGTTAAACGATTCCGGGACGTTTCAACGACCTGGAGTGACACATCGACAAATACACAGAAGAGGCTAAGTGGAAGGAGGCTGAGAGAATGGCAGTACCATTTACAAACAGTTCGCACACGCTTCGGAAGCAATCCTCTCCCCGACGTTGCGGCGGCGTCCGCAGACCGCGGACGCGGGGCCATGCAAATCAACTCCCGCCGGGCCCT